CTCTCTCTCTCTCTCTCTCCTGCTAGCCCTGAGTAATCCTTGCTGCCCTGCTGGGTGGTTAGAGGAGGAACCAGAGAGGGGAGCCTTCTCGGACCTAGCAATAGAAATAAGGTAACTGATGTGTGTTTTATTTCGCTCTCTTCTAACTAACTTTATGCCTAGAACCTCATTAATGAAACCATTGCGCAGGCCTCATGGTAGATCTGTGGAGGCAGAGAGTAAATTAGTGGTTTCTAGGGGCCTCAGGAGAGAGAAGGTGATGAGCAGCGACTCCTGACAGGTTTGAGTTTGTTTCTTTTTGGGGTGATAGAAGTGTTCTAGAATTAAACATTGGCAGTGGTTCTACAACATTGTGAATATACATAAAAACCATTGAATTGTACACTTTAAATGGCAAATTTTGTGTTATATGAATTTTACCTCAATAAAAAAAATACCAAAAACTCCATGATGATATAGCCATTAAAAAATGACAAGAGATAATATGATAATTCATTTGAGGTGTTTAATATAGCTCCTGACAAGAACACAAATGTGCTCATTTGTGTTCACCATTATATTATGGTTAACTGTGATAGAATATGTAAAATAAAAACAATTTCACTTTGCAGGTATTCAAGTGAGTTGGTAGTTTGGGGTGAATTTTTTTATACTTTTTAAAAATTTCTAGTAGAGCTATTCTAATATTGCTTGTATAGTAAATACTTTTTTAAGAATTTGAAAAAAAATAAGAGTTTTACAAACCCAAGCATCTGGTTTTTGAGATATACTTCTAAGAAAGGCTTGCATTAGTGGAGCTACTCAGATCTTTGGAGAGCAAGAAAAGGATGAGAAAAAGGTCCAGATATATTGTAGTGTAAGGACAGGATAGAGAAACCATCCTTCCATTTATCCAGCGTATACACGTTGTCATTATAGGAAGTGTCTTTTTATGCTTTTTTTTTTCTCACCATTAATGTTCATCTCAGAGTAGCTCCAGGAGGGCAAAAGGGCACATGGTTAATTGCTTACTATAGAGCCTAGCGTGTGGCATGGCCTGATAACTATTTCAATGAAAATTTAAAATATTTACCTTTGTCAATAATTCTTATTTAATCAATCCAAAATTAATTTGTGTAATGGGAAACTAGTGGGGAAAAAACACACACAAAAGATTCTAATCTCTGTCCTTCACGTCCGCTCAAACAGTAACAATGCTGCTTTCATAAATCTAAGTCAAATGCAATTCAGCTACTATCCCCAGGTTAAAAAAGTGTGAGCTCCTGAGAACAAGGACTGGTGAGGACCTGGAGAAAACAGAGAGGAAGACAGGCTGATGTACTGATATATGGCTTTTTTCTCCTTGTGATTTCCAGTATTGCTTCCTGAATAATAATTTTTTTTATAAACTTAGAAAGCAAATCACCCCAGAACCCTGGGGTCAAGTCTGTGGGACTTGCAGTTGTTTTCTCACACAACAGAGACATAAATAGATGACATTCTGGGTATCTTCTCTTTTAAACCTGGGTCTTTGAACTTAAGAATCCCTAGTTGATTGTTTTCTTCTTGTGTTTCTTTCTCCTCTGTGTTACTAACATATTTATATTTAGCATGAAACCTGGAGAAAGTGTGGACAGCTTTCTTGGAACTGAGATCCTGTGACTAAAGTGGAGGCTCAGAGGTGCTCATAGCCTCTTGGGCATCAGAGGGATCTCTGAAGGTCGCTAACTTAACTCTTTCCCCACCACTTAACAAGAGGAGTTAAAATTTATGGCCCTGCTTACATGCCTCACAATTGGTGCAACCCAAATCCCAGCCTGCTCATCTAACACCAGTATTCTTTCCACACTATCTCTCTACCTGCTTGGGATCATCTTGCTTGTGTAGGGAAGAGAAGCTCAAAAACAGTGTCCTTGAGTCCCTTGCTAGGGGTACAGTGTTCTAAGCTACTACCTTACCACTAGGGAATTCATTGCTGGCCTTGCCAAAGACCTCTATAGCACTCTACTATTCAAGGAGGCTATTGACCTTTACCTCTCTCAGGTGGGCATAGCCCTCTCAGGGAGGCCTATCCCAGCAAGCTTTAGCTTTTGAACCTTCTCCATGCACCTTAATCCAGCCCAAGGTTCCAACTCTGTAATGGGTAGGGAGGGGATGTGTCCTGTGAGATCCTGACCTGGTCTAGGGACCCAAAGATCTTCCAGGGATTATCTTCACCTTGACCTGAATCTGATATTTCCAAATTTGATTGGTCCCAGCTGAGGGCATTCACCAAACACCTCAGGTACTTGGGTATCTTGGGGCAACATCTATAAACCTCCTTAACTTGACTGGCATTTCTAATTCTTTTCAGTATAATAGAGAAAGTTGGAGTACAATTTATAACAGTGACCTTCAAGAACAAGCTTAATAGAAAGTTTTAATTGCTAAATACAATAACGCATTTCACCTTGCAGTTTACCCTTGATTGTTTTTAAACTACTCCAAGTTACAACTCTTTTGTTTCTCCTGTAAAAACCCATATTTCACTGGAGTCTGAAAAAAATAGTAAGTACTTTTCTTTCTAAGCACACTGCATTCATTTTGATGGAGATGGGTAGAGGCAGTTCATCCTTGGGAATACAAACCCTGAGGTTGGACATAACATAGGGCTTTTGTGGCTGTTTTTTTTTTTTTTAACACAAACACATCTTTATTTTTACATATTGAAGTTTCTTTCACATTCAAGCCAAAAATTTATTTGAAGCAATATAAATAGCAGGAGAGAGAATTTTTTTTAAAAAAAAACAATCTTGAGCATTATGGATTGTCTTTATGGCATAAGTATATGCATATGGAACAATTGAACCCAGACAATTAATAAAGCAGGAAAGAAGTATATAATGCATTTTTAGTTTACTTAAAACATTTTGAATCAACCACTCATGAGTTTCTAACAGTAGGTTTTAATATATGAACTAAATTAGAGGGGTAATAGATTTGTTCTTTGTCTTAGCTATAATTTGGGAAACATTTATGACCAGAAATGCATTCTGTCTTATATGCACAAATAAAGAGATCAAGGAAAAGATAGAATATGTAGGAAAACAAAATTAAGGATAGATTTAAAACACAAAATGCACCAAGTGAGAGGTTCATGTATTTGGTCTGAACCTCACTAGTGGGTAAAGGAGGAATACCTGAAATTAAATGGAAATTCTAATATTGATTATAATTCATATTTCTTTTCATTGTCCTACAGTCAAATTTTCACTAGCTGATAATTTGAGTTTATGAATTTGCATATCCAGTTATATCCTCTTTGATTTTTCCTGCCATTTAATCATTTTATTTTCAGTTAGCATCACTCTTCAGAAGTTAGTGAAAGAAAAAAGATATGAGTCATCCCAATTCATTTATTTTGTGGTTTAAAAAAAAAGTGTATATGTGTATTTTGTGGGGAGAGGTACAAGGATTTAGAACAGTTTGAAATATGATGAAGAGGATATTGAAATTTTGTGAGTTTAGTTATCAAAGTTGTCATTAAATTGTTTCCTGCACACTTCATATAAGCATCTTGTTAAGGCAGAATTTCAGGGAATATATAACATTTCTTAAAAGTGAATGTACTCCTGTAGTCAATTTTATGTATAAGAACTCAAGATCACAAACTTCATAAAATGGCTCTTGATTGGATAAACTGGAGCATGCCATTACTTAGAAATAACTGGACAGAATGCAAACCAATGAAAACATAGTTGTCAGTAATATAATAAATGTCAAATCAATATAATATTAATTTGCTATTGAAATTACAAAAGTTGCATTAACAGAAAAGCCTCACAAAAATTTATCACTAAAAATGCCTATAACAAAACTATGAGAAAATACAAGTGGATATGCAAGCTATGAAATATGTAAAATGTCTCTGCTGATAAATAGAATAAGGTGGTTTGTAAAAATAAAAGTTATACTGGTTTTTCTAAGATGGTGGATCACTTTCTTTTCTACAATATTCTTTGATATTTTGTGATTATTATATATAGAATTGATGGGAAAGAAATGCAAACCAAAGCTTTTATGTGAGAATTTTTTTTTACGGATTAATCGACTAATGTTTACCTTCAACTTATTTCCTTTTAAAATACATGTTTTTAAAGTCTAAATTTTACAGATTCATGAGTGATGTCTTCTTGCCATTAAAGTTTTCAGTTTGGGGGATAGTTTCCCATTAAAATGTAGATGGGAGAACTCAGCAATGTTCCTCTTTTTTTCCTTGTTTTTCTTAGGCATTGCTATAGGAGTCTTAGTTCGAGAATACAGCAAGCTCTCGAATCTGGAGAAATTCTACTTTGCTTTTCCTGGAGAAATTCTAATGAGGATGCTGAAACTCATCATTTTGCCATTAATTATATCCAGCATGATTACAGGTACCTTGATGTTCTCTATGATTCTTAAAGGAGTCCAGCAGAATCTATGTTGTTCTTTTCTAATTATGGAAAATTGGAATGCAGTAGAGGCATCACACAAATCACGCACTCATATACACTCCTCACTTGGAAAGTGTATATTTGCTTAGGTGAAAACATTTCCTTGGTGTCAGAGTGGTATGGTTTTGTCGTGGTTCTATTCCTCTAACACTGTCTCAAATCTTCATTTGTTCAACAAATGATGTCTTTTGAGGGGGATGTTATTTCAAATATATTGTAGATAAAACTCCATCTGGGGCACAGAAGTGGGGAAAAGGCATATTTGGTCCCTGAAATGTCAGCTAGTGTCCTCAGGGAAAATGTGGTTGTCAATTTTGATCATGTTTTCAGTAATTCACTCATTTGTTTCCCAGCTGCAGCTGAGCTCTCTCAGCAGCTGCCTTTAGGGTTCCTCTGTTCCCTACTCCTCGCCTACTTCTGCTCCTCCACAGGACTCAGAATTTGCTACATACTTGTCCTGCAAATTTGCCAAGGGGCCAGCAGCCAAGTACTGTGGAAAAGACCTGAGTATGGGTTTGTACCATATTTTACAAGGCCAGCATTTTTAAACTTGTGACACAGTTGGATCTGAAAATGACTTTTCTCTTATTGGTCATTATATTGTAGGATTTCTTCAAAGAGCAGGAATTCCAAACCATAATTGAATACATAAATAAAGATTATTAAATGGTCTCTTTAGGTTTCTAATAAGCTAAGAACACCAAGGCCATTTACGAACAAAGAGAAGGGATCCTATAATATAATTCTGCAATATATCTCCTTATCTGGATAGAGACTAACCTGATTGACAAAAATGCCATTTATCTGGAAATGGTATGCTGCCGTATGCATTCCATCACTGCTTGTACTTATCTCAATTCTGGCAATTGAGAAAATGTGGCATGACATTAATCACTTCTGTTGTCAGCTTCAAAATCAAGGTTTATGTAACCATGCAATTAGGAGACTTGTACGTCCTCTTCTAGAACACTTTTCTCCACTGCCACTGAAAAGATCTGATCTTGTCCAAAACATTGGCCAGGAGGAAGGGAGGAATCTGCTGCATTCAGTAATTGCATTGTTTGAAAAGCTGCCACATTTGACCAATGAACTTCACAAGAGCGAAACTCCAGTCAGATTTGAGTCCCTTGGGAGCTTTGTTCATAAATGATCTTGGTGTTCTCAGCTTATGAGAAACCTAAAGAGAACATTTAATTATCTTTATTTATGTATTTAATTATGTTTTGAAATGCCTGAGTTCTTTCAAGCCTCACAGCCTCAGGAACAAATCAGCATATTAGTTGTTTCTCCCACATGATTTTTATTTTTGTATTATTGGAAGCATTTAAATTTGGAAGAATTTTGTATAAATATACAGATTTCTGGCTTTTTCTGGAAAAAATTAAGATCTAGATACACCATTCATACACACCAACAGCCATCAAGAGCCAAGAGACAGTGGTTCCATTTAATTGGAGGAAATACATTTGAGGATGCCACAGTCCCCACCATTCCATATTCCTAACACCCTGTCCACTTCTCTCTTTTATATTTGCTGACTGGTTCCTGTAGGCACTGCAGTTATGACACCTCAGAAATTTTCCCCATATCAAAGATTCTTGATCTTTTTTTTCTTTTTGTACTCTTTCAAGAGCAAAATGAGAATCTTGGATTCTCTCCTAAGGAAAATATTCACAATTGTACACATATAAGATATTTTGCATACTTTTACATATTTTGCACAAGATTCAAAAGCTGCCTGATGAGTGACATCATTTAATTTGTTTCTATTGGGAAAGTAAAGAAAGTTAATCCAAATTAAGCAGCCAACTCAAAACTCATGTAGTAATCCAGGTTCTAGAAGAAAAGGTAAAAATACATGTATGAATATACTAGTTCTATAATGTTGGTTGTTTGAAAATATGGGCTGTTGGGAATCACTTAGTGATATGTATTTCAGGCAGGCTGTTTTGTGTATAGCTCAGCTTTATAAATAATCTAGGGAAATAAATTATAATTCTCAGTACTTTAGTGACATAGCTCAGCTGTTTTTCAAAGCCATAGCACAGATCCTGGTAGGTTCTATACCTTTTCTTTACCAAATCCTCAGTAGCTAGTCAGGCACTAAAGAGAAAGAAAAACCACTACTCATTCTTTTGATGTGGAACAATGAAATGGTCAGAGATTCTAAGGACATGAGCAAAAGCAGAATAGGGAAAATGGTACCACTTTCATGTTTAAAATTGTCAGATTAAAGGGAAAAAGTGGCAGTACTAGTATTGACAATGACGTGGGAAAATTCATACACTTTCATTTCCCATCAATTTTGGAACAAACTTTCTGGAAAGGTGGTGTAGAACATGTTCTGATCTTTCCACCTGGTAATTCTACTTCATAGGATTTATCATAAAGAAATATGTGTACCTAAATTATCACAGATTTAGGTACAAGAATATTCATGGTAGCATTTTAAAAAATAATGGCAATAAATTATAAGCAATCTAAATATACGGTATACCCATAAGTTAGGATACTGTGCGACAATTAAAAACCTGCTTGGATACATATTTGATGACAAGTGGAAATTTTCCTAATACGCGCCCAGTGGAAGGATAAAACAAATTACACAACATGATGTATAAAAGCCAGGCTTTTGTAAAATATGTATACATTTTTAAAAGTTGGGTTAAAACCAATAGGTTAACAATGGTTCAATCTGGATAGTAAGAAAACATGATTCATTGAACTTTCATTACATTTTCAAGGTGAACATGTGTTATTCTGTTTGTCTTGTTTTGTGTTTTCCCCTTTCTTTTGTTTAATGGCAGAAAGTGGGATGAATTCTACTCTGTGCTCCTCAGACTTTGCCTCTGGTAGTTTCCCTACTCCTCTTCTCCCAGCTCTGCTCCCTGTTCCTGCCAGCTCAGTGCCCCTTTTAGCCCGGTGTGCAGGTCATTCACCCCAGCCCTGCAGCATCATTCCATTTCCCCACCCAGATGATGGCATGGAGAATTCACAGGAAGGGCAGTTTTCACATTGCAAAAGCCTTGGAAAACCCAGCAGGTCACTAGCCAAAGGAGGATGTTGTGGAAGCTATGCAGATTGAATGCATCCCTCAGGAATACATGAATTAGAGGAATAAATACCGCTATCACTGAGACCCAAGACTAATAATTTGTGCTCCTGAATATTCCTTGCCAAATTAACAGGTAAAAAAAAAAGGGCCATGAAAGCCTCTGGTGACATAAAAATGCTTATTACTTTATAGCTTTTTTTTTAATAGGACGATAGTTTTTTAAAATAGGATGATAGTTTTTAAACAGGATAATTTATAAGAAGATGATGTTAAGAAACTATCTTAATCAGGTAAATTGAATATAGGCTTGATATTAGATGATATCAAAGATCTCTGATCATTTTGTTAGAGATGATAATGGCATAGAGTTAATTAAGGAAAATGTTCTTTTTTAAAAAATGCATGTGGAATTATGTGGGGATGAAATAACATAATGTCTCATATTTGCTTTAAAATAGAAGAATGTAAAAGAGAAGGCACACTTAATATAATCTGAAGGCATTTTCAGAGACAGACAGATAGTGGGGGCACTAACAGAATCTTCTCCATGACTTACCATCAGCTGGTAAAAAAAAAAACTCACCTTTCTGCCATGGTGAGGATGATCTGTGTTTGGGCCCTTTTAACATTTAGGTTTCTAAGCTGTATTTACGTCAAACCACCAGCAAAACAAAAAGAGGAGGTGGCTTGTATGCCTGAGTACTGTGACTCTGGAAAAATACTGGCCCAGGTCTTAGTAGCCATTGAGTTTCAATTCAAGTCATAGTACCCTAATTATTCCATTTGGTGGGGCAGGGGAGGGGTGGGTACTGGGGATTGAACTCAGGGACACTCAACCACTGAGCCACATCCCCAGCCCTATTTTGTATTTTATTTAGAAACAGAGTCTCACTGAGTTACTTAGTGTCTTTTGCTGAGGCTGGCTTTGAACTCAGGATCCTCTTGCCTCGGCTCCCTGAGCTGCAGGGATTAAAGGTATGTGCCACTGTGCCAGTGCCCAGCATAGTACCCCAGTTCTGATGACCAGAGCCTCTTGTGACCAGCACAGGAACAGAAGAGCCCCTCCAGTCCCACTCCAAGATTCCTCTGCATATGCCCCTGCTCTTAGCCATACTCTTCCATTCACACTGCCTGGGCCGGAAGTGCTCCAGGGCACTACGGCGCCCCCTGGTGTCTGCTGTGATTGTCACACCTCTCTGTTCATTCTTAAAAAGGAGCAACTGCTTAATTCTCTATGGTGTGGGTAAGGGCAGACTGTTACATAGACCAGAGAATTACTCAAGGTTTGGGGGTGACCAAAAGCAGATGAAAAACAAATGGAGACATCCAGCTGCTCCCTGAAAAGGATCTTCCAAAGGTCCTAGAGTTCCTTAACAGGGATACCCTCTGTTTAGTTGCCAACCTGCCTCCAGGAAGCTGGTGCAGTTTATGTCTCCAGCCAAGCACTGCTGCACCCCAGGCCCCAGCACCTGACACCAGGTTCTAAGAAGGAAGAGCTTCACTATCACATAGGTCTTCCTGTCCTGACCCAAATGCAATTATTTCCTCTAAAGCTTGCCATTGTGGAATACCTACTCCAGAGAAAACCTTGCAGGCCCAAGGGGTAGGTCTTACCTTATGGGCTCCATCAGGGAACATAGGTAGAATTGGCACACTAGTTGTACCTTTTGGGTTATTGCCTTCCCATCCAGCCCATAGAACTTGGAGTCTGACCAGGTCAGGATGAGCCAAGTCCATGCTGGTTCCTGTGGACATTTCCTCCTGCAGAGAAGAGAAGCTCGTTCCTAACCATTCCTGTGACATCTCAGTCTGGATTTCCTGCAAATGCCTACTCAGACTCAAGAAGCAGCTCAGTGTATTCCAAGTTCATACCAAGCCAAGAAAA